GATTTTTTAAGTTTACTTGTTTTTAAATGATTTTAAATATAGTCTTCTGTTGTGTGTGTCTTTGATAATTGCCTTAGCCGTTTTCACGGTGGCGGTAATGTCTTAGATTTTCCTATTTCGTATTTTGAAAAGGGTAAAATAGGTATTTTAAAGGAAAGGAATTTCTAGGGTGTTACAAGCACCCTCTCTTGCATTGTGCCAAGTGAAGGGGTTTCCATTGAGACCAAGATCCACTAGGCAAGCCGCATCCGCAAGCATGTTTAGATCACGGCATTGAGACATTCTGAAGTTCTTTCCACCCATTTTTCTGCAGGTGAGGTAACTTCGTTGAAGTCTCTTAGAAGCATCCACGGTATATCATCTGCAGACAGGGAGTTTTTTAGGTCATTCCATAGCCTATAAAGTTCTAAGGCATTCGATGGTGCGTGAATACCAGTAAGGAGCACCTCAGTATTATTAGGTTTGAACTTGCAACAAGCATGTAAGAAATTAATAGTATGAGAAATATAGAGAACAAGTGCAACTTTAGAGTTGTACATAAGCCAAATACCGCCACGAGTACCATTTGGCTCAATGAATCTAAGCCCATCAAACCCCAAAAGCTTACTGACTTGTAAAGCACGCACTCCATTACTTTTAGCTTCCAAAATAATAAAGATAGACGGCCTATGTGTGGCAATTATATCCCAAGCATGTGGGATAAAGTCATTCCTTGTCGCCCTCGAACATTCCACATAACGACTTTCATATTCAAATTTGGGAATGAGGGAAGGCATAGGGAATCAGCTTTGAGATCAGATGGAGGGATTGGGGGAAGAGCTACCTTCCAATCCTCCCATTGATGTACGTGCTCCGACGGGTAAATGTCCATCATTGATAGGGGAAATAAGCTAGCTTGGACTTCCCAAGTCGTCATCGTTGATTCCCATAAGTTGACCTCTAATCTGAGGCCCAGCACTTCCTTTTGGGTTTGGGCTAAGATCATAAGGTTTTCCGCTAGTTTGACGTCTTTCTCGATGGGATCATATAATAGTGGAAGAGTGGCTATGTTTCTCGGGTGGGGAGGCGGGATAAGAGGATTGAGATGGAGAAGATGGGCACGATCTCTCGACCATTGGGGTTTGGGCGAGAGTGGTGGCAAAGTTGTGTTTGAATTGGTTGAGTCTCAGAAGTGAATTGAGATGGGATCATATAATAGTGGAAGAGTGGCTATGTTTCTCGGGTGGGGAGGCGGGATAAGAGGATTGAGATGGAGAAGATGGGCACGATCTCTCGACCATTGGGGTTTGGGCGAGAGTGGTGGCAAAGTTGTGTTTGAATTGGTTGAGTCTCAGAAGTGAATTGCGCATTAGGACAATTTTGGTCGCTGTCGATGGGGTGTTGAGGGAGGCCTAGAGAAGGGGTTGAGACGACCGGTAGTTGTTCTGAGTTGGTGGGGCCCGAATTATCTCCTGAATTTCCTAGATAGTTTTGGGTTAGGTGAGCACCGTGGTTGAAGGAGGGCGGATAGTTGGAGGAGGGCAAGGTGGAGTGAGAAGAGAGTTGGATGGTTGCGGCAGTCGGAACGCCGGTGGGGGGTTGGAGATCGGGATTCCCAGAAGGTAAAGAGCAAGGGAGAGCTCCGCTGAGGGAAGGTTGATGTTAGGGATTGGAGCAGGTGGTGAGGGAGGAGGCGATGGTTGACAATTTTCCAAGGATGGAGGGTTGCTCTGCTGTGGACGGCACAAAGGCCGAGCGGAAATTCCTTTGGAACGCTGAGGGATTAGGGGGTTTCGAGGATTTCGATCCATGGTTGGGTTTCAGGGAATTTTTGTCTGTGTTTCAAATGCTTGAAGTGGAGTTTGTATCACTGGTAGAATTAATTTCACTATTAGGGTTTAAATTGGGAAGCTTAAGGGTTTGTGGGTGGATTTCCATGGCACTGGTTAGTTCCTCCACCTCCATTGCCAAGTGTCCAAAAGTTCCTGTGGGGGTGGCTGCAGTAAATTGGGGTTGCACGCAAGCCTCTTCAGTTACCTAGAATATAGAACTCTCTTTGTAGAGTATTTCGGCTGAAAGATTTTTTTGCTAAGGATAAATTTTCATCTTGAGCTCCATTATTGGCTAAATTAGAAAAGGGGATTTCTTGGGAAGAAGGAGAAGTGGGTGTCTTTTGGGATAAAATATTTTTTGGGATTATTTTATTCTTAGTGCTATTTGGTTTTGGAACCTGGCTATTTGGAGTTTTGTTATTTGTTTTTTTATGGTTAATTCTTTTATTTGTGGCAATTAACCAAGGGCCATAGGAATCCAAAGGTACATAGACTGGGCTAGCATTTGAACATTGGGTTACAGCTGGATGTCCACTATCCAAATGTTGAAGGTTGGATTCAGTTGTGGTAAGAGAGTTGGGCTCGGAGGTAATGCAAGTGATAGGCTGCTTCCCTTTGTCCAATAATTTGCATTTTTCTTTAGGATGGCCGATAATACCACAATTGAAACATAAGCAATGGATATTTTCGTATTCAATTAATTGTCATCCGTTACTAACCCAAACCGAAGTGACAAGAGGGTTAGTAAGATCAATGTCGAGACAAACTATAGCATAACGAGCTCTGGTTAGGTGATCAGTAGCGTAATCAACCCGGATAGGATTCCCAGCTAGTCTAGCAATTTCAAAAAGGGCCTTCTTGTCGTAATATTCCACTGGTAGTTCAGGAAAGCGAATCCAGACCATCATTCGATTGAAGGGATTCATTGAGGGATGGAAATTAGGTTTCCATTTGGTTAGCATGAGATAGTGATCAAATATGAACCATGGCCCTCCAAGGGGAGCACGTTCATAACCATCAGGAACAAAGAATCAGAAAAGGTAGACATATTTACCAAGATCTATAACTTCCAGAGACCCCTTGGGCCTCCACATAGCCCTAACTCTTTGGGTGATAAAAGAAGGTCTAACATAAATACCTAAACATTTCCCCATGAGAGTGAGCTTCCAAGGTTGTCGTAATTTTTCAAGAGTTTCTTTAGCAAATGAGACAGTGTGGTTGGAGTTAGGGATTGTAATATCTTCATCTTCCCATTGAATAGTTGATACAGATATTTCTCTAGCTTCAAAGAACCATTGGGACGATCCTTTAACAGCCTCTCTAAAGGACATGGTTGAAGTATGGTTGAGACAGGGTTGTGAATGGCTAAGGCTAGGAGAGTTTCCTTCTTTAGAGATGGAATCATCTAAAAGAGGGATAGGATCCAAGGAAAGATCACAAGTGTGGTCAACGGAAGGGAGTTCTTCCATGTTGGTATCCATAACAGGATGGCCGTCCATGGAAACGAAAAGGGAGAGGTTAGATCAAGAGTAACAAACTTGAGCGAGCTTCAATACCTGCAAAAGAAACAAACAAAAGAAAAAACAATTTGAGGAGAAAGAGTTTGAACTCTAACACAAGGAGACTCTTAGAGCCCCCTCGCCCGAGCGAGAAGGAAAACCTCTGATGATCACCCAAGTGGAGAGAAAAAACTAGAGAGAGAAAGAGAAGACGTTTTCAATGCAACCAAAAATAATCTTTTGGGTAATTTTCCCTCTCTTCAATTCTTCTCTCTCTTCTCTTCAAACTTTGTTTTCACTCTCCTGTCACCATAAATCTTTAAATGTATAAAATTTTCTCTTCTAACAAGTGCCAACATTATTTCTAGATTTCACAATTCTAGAATTTGAAACATAATTCCCAAACACGGGAATTGGATATGAAATCCATCAACTAAAAATCCATAATCTAAAACGAAAGTAGAGCTCTCAAAGACACTTCTTTTATTTCCTTCTTCTCTTTATCATTCTTATCAATAACTCTACCTCTTTTTATATCAAACTTAGCATAATCAAAATCAAAATCAAATACCTGCAAAATTCTTTACTTTTTCCTCTATTCAACAATGAAGTTATGGCCTGTTTGGGAACCAGAATTTGGAATATGAATTTGGGAACATTACCTTTTTTGGATATACTTGGAATTTGGAATTTGGAAATTGGATTTGGTCCAGATCCATGATTTTGAAGACATAAATTTCCAATACTAATGTTGTCATTTCAAATTTTAATATTCAATAAAACATAAATAAATAAATAAATAAATAAATAAATAAAAAGGTTAAAAACAAAAAAAAAAACACAACTCTCTCTCCTATGTCGACAATCAGAGTTAGATTAGAACTTGAATGTATAGAAATTTGAAATTTCATTGTTTCTCAAACACCTACTCGAATTTGAATATTAGATTTGAAATTCTTATGTTTCCCAAACAATTATTAAAATTTGAAATCCTAAATTGAAATATATTATACTTCCCAAACAATTAATATGGATTTGAATTTTAGAATTCCAATTCCGAAAATTGAATTCTATTATTTGAAATAACACAAACTAAAAATTTTGATCAAATTAAGGTTTAGATAGACATTGTAACTAACATAGAGCAAACATAAATTGATCAAATTATTCAATATTTATAAGTCCCTAATTCCAAACAAACATGAACCTTTATTTTTATTTTTTCTTTTATTTGGAAATTGTTGGTTGATATATCAATTTAAACATGCTCAATGATCAAGTTATTGAGTAAAAAAATAAAAACCTCTTATCAAATTTAATCTTGGTTGTTATGTTGTTTGCTTATTACCCATCAACTTTGTACTTTGAAATCTACGGAGTACTAAAGGTCTACCTCGTATCAATTCACATAAAGGACGCCCCAGTTGACCTTTATGATTAACAAGGGTTGTTTATATTAATAGCAAACTTGTAAATAAAATGACCAAAAATTTACGCTATTCATGGTAGAACTGCTAACACCATTAGCGGTTTTACTGAAAATGTGCAATATTCATGGTAAAACCGCCAACACCATTAGCAGTTTTACCATGAGCAATGCACATTTTAGGCTGTTTATTTACAAGTTTGCTATGAATATGATAAACTTGTATTTTCTCCATATTAACCCTAGCAGCTTCATGAGGTCATCTTGCAACTAAAGTTCGCATCCACTTTGGCCAACGCTGCATAAATGCAACCAGTGAAACTTACATCGAGCAATCGTAATTTATCATTCAATAACACTAAGCTAAGCAAAGCTTCAGTAGCACTTTACGGTAAAATACACATCAAAACAGATCAGCACTAGCCACTAGCCACTAGCCAGTACAGACTGCAAATATGTTTACAGCAACTAGTACTGAATAGTCGATATCAAAGAGAACAAGTTAACACAAATTACAAAGCGGCAGTCTTCTGAGGAAAAGAGGTTCCAATCAACCATCTCACGCTTAGTATGTAAAGTTTTTGACGGGCAACTTCCATATAACATCAGAAGCTTATGGTTTACGAGGGGATCCGCTGCTACTTCGGCTTTGACTGCTGCTCTTACTCCTTCCTCTCAAGGGCCTGCAACGTGAACCAAATCCATCAGTGAAATATACAATCAGTCTAGAGACGGAGTGTATCCCACAACTGGTTTCTTTTTGTCAAGAAAATGTGACATAAATGCAAATCATGATCCAAATATTTTGGCTATTATTCACAAGGCACATAATTGATGAACTTCTGACATGGAGAGGCACATAAGTTTAACACCATTTCTTCACTAAAAGAAGAAAGATAGCTCCTCACAGTTTCACATCATCTGAAATAAAGATATATTACCTTCTAGGACTCTTTGATACTCTCCTAGGACCCTGTGAAAGAATGATACAACCATGAGATATGTGATTTAATTTTATATTCAAAATCACTAGAACTTCACACCAAACATACCCTTCTTGGACTTGGAGACGGAGAGCCTGAAGATGACCTTCCTCTTCTCACTGGTGGCCTTCTGTAAAACAAAGCAACCATGACAACAGGCACAGGATAACAACATCAATAAAAAGGCGTATATGGAATTGGCAGTCATGTAAGTAGCCCACAAATAGATATTTTTCCTTTAGAACAATGTTTTACAAGAAACGAATGTAATTTTACAAGGCAGATGTTGACCAATAATTTCCCTCAACAAATACTGAAAAAATTATTATTAAAATATTATATTTGCATTTTAACGTACTTTCAAAATCATGTTTCTGGGATGATGAAGTTATTTAGGAATGGAGTATGGTAAAAAATAATAAGCTCGTTGGATGGCCTATCCTGAAAGCAACAAATTAAATAATCTTATAGCTGGCTTATAATTAGTTTTATTTTGTTCACAAACTAGTTATTTGGGCAAAAAAATCAAATGCATTTTTCTGGAAGTACGGTTACCCTTCAACCACCCCCACCCCCCCCCCCCCCCACACACACACACACACAAATACCCTCCTCTTCAAGGAGGCCAATATGTTGTTAAAATAAAATCAAGTAATTTGGAGCATCCACAAAGGGAATTTTTTCACAGATTAGTGAGCACCTCAGGCCTCAAATAACAGTTCAAAGAAAGCTTTTTCAGAACTTAAATCCTTGTTCACCCAAATAACTATTCCAAAGCCACAGGTTTTTTATCAGAGGGATCATTTCAACAAATCTATCACTACATATGCAATTATGCAAGCACAGGAAACTAAAAAGGCCCATCAGCAGAGGTACCACAGTAGATAAGTTTACAGCCTTCCAAGAATAGAAAATTTCAGAGCATCAATCTTATGGCAAAGAAAACTGAACTTCAGTCTTCAGTTGCAAATGGGGGGACAAAACTTTTGCAATACATCAAAAAATCCCTAGCATCCCACGAAATTGTGACAGCGAGGTAATGGAGCACAGTGATTGATTCACCACATCTAAACAGCTCAAAATCTTCTCAAACTTTTTTTTTAAACAAGGCGCAAAAATACAATTTGCCAATTTATTTTGAAAACTGTAGTACAAACGTCCATGCGAAGTAACAAAAAAAACATTAAAAATTACAAACTCTAATTACCTCCGCGGTGAGGGTGATCTTGAGCGTGAACGGCCAATCCTCCGAACAGGAGAGCGGCTACGCCTACGCCCAACAGGAGACCTTCTAGGAGGGCTTCGAGCTCGTCTAGGAGGTGGCGAGCTGCAAACATTGAATCACATATAATAAATCAGTTCCACTACTGATTTTTTTTTCACTAATGAATTATAAAAGCATAAACCCCAAACATATACAAGAATTAACAGTGCACTAAATACAAGAGCAAATCATGGAAGGGCAGAAGCAGAATAGAACTTCTTATTTTTAGCAGACAATGGACAAAGAAAACATATCACCAAGCGCAACCATGATAAAACATAGGCACCTGAACTCTGTTGATCCAAAACTCAAAAATTTTAAAATATAACCACTTTAACATACAAGATTTTCATGGAAAGCAGATTAAATGTATTATTTATCATTGAAAAGGTGACTCAGTCACTACAAAAAGCAGATTAAATGTATTATTTATCATTGAAAAGGTGACTTAGTAAAAGAGCAACTCATGGAAGGACAGAAACAGAATTGAACATCATATTATTAGCAGACAATGGACAAAGAAATATATAACCAACAGCACCCATGATACAACATAGGCACTTCTGAACTCTATGCAGATCCAAAACTTCAAATTTCAAAAATATGACCATTTTAACATGCAAGATTCTCATGGAAAGCAGATATATTTTATGGTTAAAAAGGTGACTCAATCACTAATAAAAGCGACAAAGTATCACAATCTTGGTAGTTGCCCAAAAGACATTCTACATGCGGGCCTGCAGGGTCAACTGAAAGTTTGGTAAGTCTAAATCTTCTGAGTTTCCTCTCATTAAGGCATTGATAAGGATAAAATTAGAAAAAATTGCACCCATAAAATCAGAACTCCAACACCAGATTATACTTTGAATGTGTACAATGTACTTTAAGCATAAAATTGAAATATATAGATTCCAGTGGAAGAACTGAATCAACCTTGTAGTAGCTCTTTTTTTTTTCGAAGAAAAGAAAGTCTTGAAAGCCTAAAAACTCTGATTCTCTGATCGAGCTTAAAATAGGTACTTACAACCTAAAAGGAGCATCAATACAAGATACTCCCTTCTGACTTTCTGAGCAACTCATTATGGGCAATGCCACTGGCAGAATTGCCAGTTAATTAAAACCATGTGTCCATAATTATAAGCTCCATAGTCCATACTCACCGCACATAAAAGATTCCTGATTACCCTAACCCTTAAACAATGTCTTAGCAAGGGTATTTTTAAGAGCGCTCAATGCAACAAAAATGAATTTCAGTCAAAAAACATGGGTCCGTGCTAACTTCTAGAATAGTATACAAATCAACAATAAAGACCTTCACCTTTTATGCAATCAACCAGTAAGATCACATTCACTCAGATGCATGGATTGTCTTTTAATGGACCATTCCCCAAATCAATAGCATTGCATACCACACAGCAGTACAGAGTAGGTGAATTTGTATATCGCATTGAGAGCACAAACAGGCTTGAAAACTCATTAATAGTGTCAATGAAGCATCAGATATGGAGTAGAGCAGTAAAGTAACTTCATGCTCACCCACATGCACGCACAAGTGGAGGTGGAAAAAATAACACCTTTTCCTCTATAACGACTTTTGATCATTTCCACCTTAAGAAAGGAATACCAACTTCACATAACTCTTAAGACATTTAAAAATATCCATCTTTAAGTCATGACTAAACCTCGGGCCATCTCATGTTTTCATCACTCAAAAGAGTCAATACTTGACATTAGGCCCATCCTCAGATCAATATCAGTACATGGGAAACCTACAATACTCGGTACATAACTGGCATGCCGGACAACGGCAACCAGAAGAACATTGCCTCTGGACCACTACAAAATGAAGGTGCTGCATTCAGTTTAATTAATTACATTCTAAAGGGCATAATGTCATATTTAACACACCCACAATCAATTAAGTAGTGGCTAACACTCATCATTTGGCACAATGTTTAGGCAACTTCAAGGCTTAGTATAGAAAAGACTCCATCACAATATTTTAGCCAAAGAAAGAGAAATTATTGTAATTGTAATAAAGACCTATGCTGTATTTAGATTAGCCATATAGCACCCACAAAAGTAATTTTTCTGAAATAATTTAAAGCTAATTGTAATCAAATCTGAAAGAGTTGTGTAATTGACCATTCAAAAAAATCCACAAAAGCCATTTACAAAATTCACAAAAGAAAGGGATGTTATATGGTCATTCATAAACAACACAGTAACGGACAATATAAATTTTGAATTACAGAACTGTACATTTAGGGTTTTGAATTACAGAACTGTACATTTAGGGTTTTACACAGTATTACTACCATTTGCTTTCCTATATTAGGGCACAATATGCTCAATAAAAGAATTGTAATCAACATTACATACCGTCGCCGTGGAGGTAAGGGAGATCGTCTACGAACAGGACTTCCTCGCACCCTGCGCGGAGAACCCCTATTCAAAGTGAGCCATCAGTACTTGGAAGCATTCAAGCAATTATAACAAAAGTAATAGCAAGCAGCTAACCTCACAGGAGATCTTGGTCGCTTTGATGGAGATGGAGATCTGCCTCTCGGAGATACAGGACGCCTTCTTTTAGGTGATTCACCTCGACGGAAAGGAGATTCTCGACGAATAGGAGAATCTCCACGACGACGAGGTGGAGGATTCATTCTTCTAGGTGAACCCCCTCTACGGCCAACAGGAGATCTCCTAGGACGTGGAGAAGCTGGGAACATTCAAAAGTTTTAAATGAGTATCTACTGAAATATAACTGCCAAGTTATTAAAATATTTTCTTAGAATGCACCTTCTCTTCCCCGCTTTGGTCCATCCTTCACAGCATCTACCCCTTCATTTTTGGTAACGTCTTTTTTGGGAGGTGGAGCAACAGCTTTGGTGGGTGATACCTTTTCACTAGGTGGTAGGGTTAATTGCGCCACAACAACAGTCCCATCAATTTGTGCCTGCATTAAAATACGAGTTAATAAAGCAACCAAAATCACATATTTGATCTAAGACATCAGTCAGCTGAGTTGTAAACATACTCCATCCATGTGCAATTGTGCCTTTTCAGCATCAGCTCGTGTCTTGAATTCCACATATGCATATCCTTTGGGAAGATTGACCTGTATACATCAGCATATCCAAGTTAGATAGCAAAGGCAGGAGAGCTTGTCTAGTTGTCTTGCAAAAAACAAAAGGAAAACAATAACTTACAACTCGATCCATAGCCAGCTCTACATTTACAACTTCACCAAAGATACCTGCCAATAAACAGAAACATAGGACCGCATTATTAAGTAAAGGCATGGAGGAAAAAAAAAACCCTACCAAATTATAAACAAAATAGTAAAGGACAGATGCATCCCATACAATATCCATGTTCTAAATATGCAACAAGAAGCATAATAATCCAGTGCTTACTAGAGAGCAGTAGTCAATAGCTAGCTATACAAGTCTCATAAGTTTCTTATCAATAAGAAACACCAACAAGATTCAATTATCATAGTGATCACAGGACGGAAAAAAAAATATATCAGGTATCCAGAGAAAAAATCACCTTTTTAAAAATACTCTTTCCCCTAGGTCAATCATTTTACGTACTCCCTTCATACCAAAATAAAAGTCCCCATTTCTGCCAAACTGATTCTAAAGCCCCACTTCTCAATTGGGTGGGGTCAATCATCTAATAATCTGCTTAATTATTCACTTTTAATTAACAAAACATTCAAACCCCTCTTGCCCCACTAATTTTTTCTCACTTCCCCTAAAACTAATGAACTATTCTCACTACCTTCTTTAATTACTCACTTCATTCAACAATACCCCACTGCAATTCCTCTTCTTAAATCCCACGTTTGGGAGAAATTGAACTTCTATATAGGGATAGAGGAAGTATATAAATCCGCATATACCATAGGATCAAGTCAAGGATAGGATCATTGCCAAGTACTTGTTAAACTTCTTAAAATTTAATGTTTGCACCCATATAAGGAATTTGAAGAGTGTTGATGTGGTGAGTGAGTGTAAGAAAAAGGTAAATAGAGTAGGAGAGATTGTAAGAAGATGGTTGGATGCAAAACAGATTGATAAAGTAAGAGAGAATGACTGGAATGTATATATATTGAGGTAATACGGGTGGGGAAGAAACAAGAGTTTGCCAAATATGGGATGAAGAGAAAGTTTCAAAAAAAAAAAATTTAAACGGATGATATTGGAAAGTGTTCAGAACTATGAGAAACAAAGGCAATCCGATAGCAATTAAATCACAGCTAAGAAACCAGAAGTTAAATTTGATTTTGAAGGAAAGTTTTAACTAAAATTATCCTTTTTAAAGGTGCAAGGTATATTAATAAACATAATCCTAAGATTCGGAGGCAATGAGCAGAAGCACACAGATCACGGACTCTGGACACAAAATCGATGCTAGTAAATAAATTTATTAACAAAGCTGCTGCTATATTGATAAATGATGATTAGGGTTTCTTATACTTAATCAATGAGGTAAAAAGATATTAAATAGGATCAACAGGAGGGAAAAAAAAAATTATATTGGCCACATTGACTGTTTTGGTGCATTGTGGAGCTTGTAGGCTAATGGCTCCCAGCAAATCGCCCAAAGGAGCCCAACACTATTTTTAAAACTAAGAAAAAAAACTAGAGGCTATCATCTTCCCAAAATTAAAAGAAATCTGTATCAACAAAGAACACCAACCAATCTTATAGGCAAACAGGAGAGAGGGGGAGGAGGGTACAGCTTATTAGGAAATTGGCAAAAATAACTCAAGAAAACTTGCAATATTACATGTGCAAACTGAATATAATAGCCAATGATTTCCCAAAATAATTTATTTAAACACTGAATAAGTGTTTCCAGGTCAAAAGAGTTCTGATTGACAACAATGTATATCAAAAGCAAGAAGTTCAAAAGGTACATACCAAAAATTTCTTTAAGGTGGCCTTCATTAACATTCCTTGTGAGCTTGTTGATGTAGAGGACCTTAGACTCTGGAATTGTTGTAAGTTTTCTGAATTGAGCAGTCAGATGACATCATCAAAATAATGTATTTTGTGAACTGAATCACATTTGAGTTCAAAAATGATACAGATGTACCATAGCTATTATTTTATTTTTTTTCAACAAAATTAAAAACAAAACATCTAGGTAAGCAGCGAAATTCAATAGCATCTTGCATAAGTTGTATTTACTCCAGAATAAGAGCAATACCATCACTTAATATAAACCGTACATAATGACACCGAAAACAAAGGTTAAGATACTCAAATAGCTAATGTTGTGACGCATTAAATCCTAAGAATCAGATCAAACATAGGTACACGGGGAGATGGAAACAATAAAAGTTGGATGAATATGCGATCTAAGCACCCTCAATCACAAAATTCAAATGAAGGACACAGACGTAGGAAAAGTATGAAGATAATAACTTTTATTTACTCTATTTGATACTACAAAATACTATAGGAAAAGAAGGATGCTGCAACTTAATAATTCTCCATAACAAACAGCAAAGGCCTATAAAACCCGCTAAATACTTTTACTTCATGTACAAAGTTAGAACACAGATATTGGGAAGAAGATTTGTTATGGATACTAACAGAACACCAATCTGTATTCAGGGTGCCAACATGTCGCATTGTCGCACCAAAGCTTCCCACCTTAGCAACCCAAGGTTCACGGGATAAAAGGCTACAGCATCAAAACCAACGAATGAGCATCTAGCAGCCATCCAGCAAGGAGCCAAGGAGAACTGCCTCTAATCTCTTTTACAACAGGAGGAATCTGGTGACCAAGAACACAACTATTCTTGAAAGGTAGAATTCACCAAAGAAAATGACACAAAAGGGTAGTCATAAAATTTAGAAATATTTATTAAGGTCTAATTTAAGATATACTCCCTATGTTTTATAATAGTTGTTTCCCTTAAATTGGACAAATTTGCCAACGCACAACTTTGACAATCAATACTTTTCATCACCTTAAAATATAAATTTTAAAAAGTTAATATTTTTAAAATATACAAACAAAATATTACATCATAACTTTTATTTTATTTAACAAAATACATGGTAAAAGGAGAACATGTGAATAAAGTAAAAAGTCAAGTGGAACAACAACTAAATAAAGGAGGGGATAATATAATGGAAGTGATTTCAAAAAGTAGAATAAACTTTCTCAAGTTATCTTGATAGAAACCATCACACAACATTTTCAGCATGGAGAAAAAGGAAAATCTTTACCAAGGTCCTTGTGTTTCTGATTTTTTTTTTAAAGTATATATTTGCAAGTTGAAGTACAATTCCATTGTATAGCTATAAGCATAGAACAATTCAGATTATCATTCTAAAGCAATAACTATTTCATTCAGGGTTTTGTCTTCCCAGACGCAGTTAGAATCGCAATATCTATGTTACATAACCAGTTTCGGTAATGCAGGGTTGTTAAAAGCTGCCGCAGCCCAATGTAAAAGTGGAAGTAAGATAAAAAAAAATTAAAAAAAAAATAAATAAATAAATAAAAACTTTCATCTGTATTTACAAGAGTAGCTCACAAAGTCACACCCTCAGCTAACCAATTTTAAGCAAAAACCAGGAACCAGTGTTTGAAACAGCATGTGAAAAGCAGGGTCTTGAGGGTCATGCGCTGTGCTTTTTATGGTATAGGCGAAACAATTTTGATAAAGCGCATCATAGGGGCACAGAGTAGGCACACCTTACGGCACAAAGAGGCAAACCCCTTGAGGCGCACAATAGTTTCTTCAGAAAATTTTCCTATTGTTCATTATATGTGCTTCACTTCAACGAGGCACACTGAGGCGCACCCAAGGCGCGGGGAACTCCAAACCACCTTAGTGTGCCTTGAGCTTTTTTATACATTGGCAAGAACTAGTTTCATACAGGGTTTTGTCCTCTCAGAAGCAGCCCCAGACCCCAGTCCTATATCTATGTCACAGAGCCACTTTGAGATATGTTTGGTGGATTGCAGTATCACAATCGCAAAAAGATCAAAATTTATACAAACACAACACGGTACAGCCACTACACTGCTAAATGTACTAAAACTGGTCTCATTAAAGAAAAGTTCAATTAAAGAGATAATGATTAAAGCATAGTAAGCTTATGTCAAAAATGACAAGGTGGCCACTATGAGCCAAGCTACCAGTAAGACATTACTTTGAAAACCAAAAAGAAACATGAATCCACAAAAAAAAAAATGCATCTTTTTATCTATCTAATACAATATACAACAACAATTTACCTAGGGGGAGAAGCCTTTTTAGCCTGTGGAGGTGGAGAACGAGCTTTCTTTGTTGGGTCTGGGGAACTGCAGAAGCATTAAAGAGTTTCATTAGAAAAAGTATATGGTACAGATAACTACTCACGAGAGGGGGGTTTATAGCCAGATATTGTCATATTGGTACATAGAAAGATTTTAATTAAGTCTTTTACTCAAGCTCAAATATATATGATATGTAATCAGAATTTAGAGGACCCAAACACTTAACAAAGCCACTTATAAAGGACCCAAACACTTTACAGCCACCCAGCAAACAACCCCTATAAGGAGGACAGAACTTCTGATTCATCCATCAACATTCAGAATATTTATTAACCAATGACAAGTAGCTCAGCCAATATGAATTGATCTCACATGATGTGTATTTGTAAATTTGAGACTTTGAATAATGGCAAAACTAAAAGTTACTTGTCATTGCAGCATAAGGTTCTGTATACAAAGGTTATAGATAGGGGACATGAGGATTTCATTTAGAATTCAAGACAACAAAACATCAATTACAAAAGGTCTACGAAAATAAATGGATACCAATACCAATCCACTCAATTAATGAGTTGATGCATAGTTGGTTAGCTGATATATATATATATATACATACATTGCAGGAATCAGCTCCAACCCATTCAAATCAAAGTCTCCAATTTTTGCTACTGATTCTTAGTACTCATGAGGCCAGATTGTGCAGCTTTAACTAGGAACCTAAGCAGCTAGGGCTGATTCTGGCAATTTTCAGTTGATTATATTAAATTAGATGGCACACTATTTGCATACATCTCATCTTCAAAAGGGGCAATTGACCTTTTAAGTGATATACTACTTAACCAACTAAATAAAATTCTCCACAATTTTATTCCTAATTAGTGCACTAAAATTCTCCACACGAAAGGGGGTCAACTAAATAAAACAGGCAAAAAGAGGCCATGGTTTATATCCCTAATTAGTGCACTATATACCTAAAATGAAGCTTAACTATGGGATAAAACTGCAGTGTGGATATCCAATAAGAAATTCTATCAAGGGAAAAAAAAATACTATACGATATCCCAAAGTAAGTAACTGAAAATCAATCCCAATCCGGCCAACACTTCAAAAGTTGAAATTCCCATAACGGATGCAATAATACAAATTTACTAAAATGGATGAATGGACAGGAAGGAGTTTAGCTTTACAGCTTGTAGTGCTTTTTAATCCAATCTACCCATTCTAATACAATAAAAAGATATATCCAGTACACACTACACCTTACAAATAAGTTATACCCATATCGTATGCTAAACCAATGTAGGCACCTCTTTTATTGGTATATTAGTGCAATAGCGAAAATTTGCACCCATCAGACAACACTCGGTTACTCCTCCCCAACACGGTGAAACAAAAGGAATTTTGCATTGGGAGGAGAACAGCAAATAAAAGCCCAACCAGGTTCAACACTTTAAAAACAACTCACATTTCGTTGATATATAGTTGAAATTTCTTACAAGACCAATATTGCTAACACAATTAGGTGGTCTTTGCGAAAAGAAAAGGCAAAGAAACTACTATTCCACCAGTTACCAATATCTGATTAGCATTTTTGGCTACTAAAATTTACTGAAATTGTAACATTTCATCCTAAATTAACCTTCAAAGAACCCTAACTAAGCTATGGATTTCCCTCATTTCAATACGCCAACAAGTATATGGACAAAATAAATTAGGCATTTTTCACACAAAAATTAAATTATCACCAATATCAATACTTATAGAATTCAAGAACCCTAACTTACACACTATCAACATTTAGTAATTTCTGAAAACCCTAATTAACAAACTGCTAAAAAAAAGAATCATTTCAAAATTTGGTAATGCATCAATTACAATGGAGCAACAGCAATGAAGACCTATAATTGAACAAAAATAAAGAGAGAGAAAGAGAAACGAGTACATCTTGCGCTGAAGAGGAGGGCTAGCGCTGGGACTAGCACTGCGAGAGCTAGCACTGCGACGAGAAGGCGAAGAAGACGAAGATAATGAGCGAGAAGGAGAACGAGAGGCGGAGCGCGAGCGAGAGCTGACGCTGCGAGAAGCGGAGCCAGAGGAGCGCGAGCGAGAATGAGAGCGAGACCTTGAAGATGAAGAGCCAGAGCGCCCACGGCTTGGTTTCGCCATGGTTGTAAACTCGAAGGATTTGCAGGAGGAGAAAAGTTTTGAATACTCTCACTCACTTTATTCTCTGTGCTAAAACCCTATTGACGGGGAGGGTGAAGGGGAAAATGAAAGGGGGGACAAAAATTGATGGTGGGCGGGAGAGATGCTTATGAGGTTGGGATGGGGTGTGTGAATGATCAGAGAGAGGTTCGGAATACTTAGACCACTCTTAATGGTGAGCTGCCCACCCACTATCTCTCTACCCACTTTCTCTCTCAACAAATCTTTTTGCCCATGGGCAAATTTTTTTCGCAATTTCTCTTCCAATAGTGAGCAAAAAAAATGCTTGTCCACTACTCTCTCTCTCTTACTTTTTCAATACCCCACCATTACTTTCTCTCTCCTACACAACACTTCTTTATTAATTAATTTCATTTATATTTTAACAATATTACTCCAAATAAATAAAAACTAGTCTAAATTTGTGTAACTTATTTTTTTTTATTTGTGTCGTTTTTATTGTTAAAATAAAAAATATGGAGGATTTATGGTATTTCTGAAATTATACCAAAATATACCAAAATGCATGTTTATTTATAGAGAATTAAATTTTATGACCGTTGGTAATTTTAATTTTTTTTTAAAATAAATATTTATTTCAGAATTTGCATTACAAAAAATATAACCATTGCAAATTGTGGGGTCCACCAGAGAACTATTCATCTTTTATTTTGCTCATCTCATGGGCAAAATAACAAATGCCCATGGGCATTTTCACTTTTGCTCACCATTGCAAGACTACTTCTACTAAAATGCCCACAAAAATGCCCATGAGCATTTTATTTTGCCCACCATTGTAAGTGCTCTTACAAAGTTGATTTGAACAATTCGGATTGGGTTGATTTGAACGACTCGAATCGGGTTGACTCGACTCAAAAGTTCTTAGTACTTTCACATTTCGAAATATTAACGTAGTCCAACCTCCACGGTTATCTAACTGAAGCCATGGTGGGTCCAAGTGGTGAGTTCGCCTAGGGATGGGGCCCATTGTGGTGGTGGTGGCGGCAAATCGGTGGTGTGGTGTGGTGTGGTTGTGGTGGTTTCAAGTGAGGTAGAGAGAGGGTGAGGCGGAGGGAAGCAAGGAACAAAAGGGGATTTGTGTTGTTCTAAGTGGCTAAAGGTCATCGATAGTAGAGCAGTGGTTTTAGGTGGTGGTGTGGCCATGGTAAGGTAGAGATGTCATAAGTTGATCCAAACTAAAAAATTTACTTAAATCTGATCATGACTCGACATGTTTGAACCCAAGAAAATGGTGAAATGAACCCGATATGACCCGACATAAAACCAACCTGAGACTCGAGTTAACTTGAGGATTCGAGACCTAAACCCGAACATGACTCGATCTCAATATAATCTGCAAATTATTGAGGTGAATTGAACCCGATATGAGCCTGAAATTGATCAAACCTGTTGAAACCCGAATCGAACACAACCTGTTTCTAACCCAACTCGAATTTAACCCGACCTATTATTGACCGTATCAAACACTCAAATTGATGACAACTCTACAGTCTACCTTTAACATTTCTTACACATTGATACCTTAACTCAACTTTCCCACAACACACACATCTCTAAAGTCTTATCTAGTATAGCTAGTAATCCAGCACATTAATGCCATAAATTTAGAGTTGGCAAAAGCTAACATGAAACGACGACACAACACGAAGGATTTTCAGGAGGTGAAAAGCTTTGAATACTCTAGCTCACTTTTATTCTCTCTGCTAAAACCCTATCGAAGGGAAAAAAGAAAGGGGTGACAAATTTGATGGGGGCGGGAGAGATGCTTATGAGGGTGGGATGGGGTGGGGTGGACAATTATTGCGTGACCAGCCAAATATAGTTGGTCCTCCGTTGAGAAATGAACATTTATTATTATCAAAAATGAACATTTTATAACTGAACATATTTTATAATTTTGTTCATTATAAAATCTTATTAATGATGTTCACGTTAATATTAGCAAAATTTTCATAATCATAAAAGTGTATGTTTATTTGTATATCACGAATATTATTTATTTATTTATTTAAATATTCAAAATATATGAAATTAGATATTCATTTGTATTATGGATGTTTTGCATTTCTCAATAATTAAATGTTCATTTTCATGCAATATGATGTTCATTCTTATAAAATAAATATTCATTTTTTTTTAAAATTAATACAGATCTTTGTGTTTGTTCAACTGTATTAAATGTTCATTTTATAATATAGGATGTTCAATTAACATTAGCATTTTGTTCATTATTAAAAAAACATATTGTTGATTTTTTTAATTGATATTAAATCAAAAAATTTCAAGACATTCATTCAAGAGAATTGAATAAATCAAGGTATTTTCCTTTTAACATATGGTTTTTTTTTTCTTTTTTTTTTTTTTTTTTGAAACATCCTTTTAACATATATTATTTTTTCACTTTACAAAGCACATAATTACATAAGCTATATTTTGTATTGTTAAAAAAGAGTTGGATGTTCATATTCGTTAAGGTTATTAATGTTCTTAATTTTAACAATATAAATTCATAATTCTAACACTATTTTTTTAAAATATACTTATTTCTCATACATATTTAATGTATATGCCATAAAAGTACAAATGTTATTTTGTTCATATTCATGTAAGTGAATGTTCAATTGTTCAAATAATATTTGTATGCATTACGTTTATTGTCTATGCAGTATAAATTGTAAATGTTATTTTGTTCACTTTCGTGTAAATGAATGTTCATTTAATATTTGTATGCATTATATTTATGGTTTATAAGTACAATACCAAAATATGTTTAATTATAAATTGTTCAATTTTGATATCTTAAATGTTCATTTTCGAAATAAGGGACCAGTCAAAGTTGGTTGGTCGGGAGACTAGCAAAAAATTTGTAGTGGGGCGGGGTGTATGTAAATGATTACTCGTTAGGGAGAGGTTCAAAGTACTCAGACAAAGCTGATTTGAACTGTTTAGGGTAAAAAAAAATACCCCAACGCATGGTCCAATCCTATAGTGACACGTGGCCCAATAAAAGGGAGCGTGTCCCTATAGGAAGATGACACGTGGCAAACCTAAAGAGCACCTGAATGATAGAAAAGCCTCCTTACATCAGGAGGCCCAAATCCCGAGAAAAGCACTAAAACGGCGCCCCCAAAGGACACTTGTCCCTACCTGATTGCGCCGCCAATTAGAGCACACCATTCTAGGTCACTAAACCCTAGATGGAACACACTCCCACCCCTATAAATACCCCAATCATTGACGATGGGGGGGGGGGTGGATAGAAACATCTCATTTATTGCATAAGCAATTTGCTCTAACTTCTCTCTACTTTCTCTCTCTAAATTACTTCGTTTTCCGGTCACTAACTTGATCGTCGGAGGCCAATATTCCGTCAAACGGAATATTCGTTGTTTTGCAAGTGTCCAAGACCGTCCAGCTATATTCAAGAACTGTATCCCAAGGGATTTTTAAAAACCCCAAAACATTTGGCGGCATCTGTGGGGATACACGTCTAAAATGGCTAAAGATGGTCGGACACCCGGTCCTGGTCAAGATGGACATGTAGAGAATATCATTGCTACAATCAACACTAGTGATCCTCTAACCGCTTCCTTCCATGAGGCGGAGGATCCTCCTGTAACGGCCGGCTCCTTGCAGGCCGCGTTGAACAAGCTTTGAAAGGAGCTTGAGGGTAAGATACCCTCTTCTTGTAAACAGTCGTCCAGAAGAGAAGAAGAGGGCATCAGGAAAAAAACCCCAAGACAAGATGACGAATGTTGAAGATGCAAGTAATACCCCATTCAGAAGACATCAGAGGTCCCCAAGGGTGCCTCGGGCGAACAGGTCTAGGCTTCTTGAGAAATCGAAGTCAGATGGGGGTAGACCAAGCAGCCTTTAAGGTGGCCAAATGAACCATCCAAGCGTTGGAAGGATGCTAGAGATTATCTCTGGCACAAGCTATAGGAGCAAGCGCAATCCTACTACTCGGACACTGCCTCCACTCCTACCATGCTGGATGAAATGTCAAACCCTACCCTCTTAAAGCATATCAGCTTGGCCAGGACCAGCAGGAGTCAAGCTCACCATACTCCAACTCTAGTTCCTTTAACTCAACCACCTTATTTAAAATACCTCAGCATTATGGTGCAATTCTGCCGCATACTCCCCCTGTGTATGGGCAGCATGGACAGTCGTACGACCAAGCAGCCTATCTGGGCGAACCGGCTGCATATCAACCTATTGATTGGAAAATGCGGTTGTTGAATCTTGGTGACAAGCCGCCTCCATTTTCTCAAGAAATTCTCAACTCTCCTCATCCAGCTAAAGTGAAGAATGTACTTGTGGGTGTCTACGACGGTACGAGCAACCCTGAAGAACACATTTCCTCTTACAGAAACTTGATGTACTAGCAAAGTGTGGACGATGCCACATGGTGCAAAATGCTTCCCGGCCACCCTCAAGGGTGTGGCCCAGGACTGGTTCAACAGTCTGTCGGCTGAATGCATTAATTGTTTTACAACTCTTAGCCTATTATTTGTTGGAAACTTCTCCTACAATATACCACCCCGGAAGACTAGTCTTAACTTGGCAACCATCGTCCAAGGAAAGAAAGAGGGATTGCGTTCGTACGCTAAGAGGTTTAATACGAAAAAAGCACAAATTCAGAACCTACCGGATCAAATGCCCTACTCGGAGTTTCTTTGAGGTTTAAGGCACAATGGTTTCAAATTTAATTTGATTAGGAAAAAGATTCGGACATACACACGTGTTCTACTTGGAGGCTGAATAATATATTGAGGCAGCTGATTTCTGTTCGCTGACAAAGTCAGGAAAGCCGTCCAAGGGCGCCGAGAAGAAAACATCTTCTCAGCAAGACTCGGTCGGCAAAAAGAAAGAAGGAAACAACAAAAGAAAAGAAGTCTGGGTGGCGGATTTCCAACAGACCAAGTCAAAGAAAGCCAAGACGTACGAGCCACATTACGAGTACAACAAAGATTGTCATCCAATTTTGATGGAAATCAAAGACAAGTTCGAGTTTGAGAACCCCCAGCCTTTGAGGGGGCCGGCCCAATACAGAAACAAGAACAAGTAGTGCCACTACCACAAGGATGTGAGGCATGATACGAATGAGTC